TTGCCAATGGGAATGGGATTGGGAGTGGGAGTGGGTGAAAGTATGCCAAGTGGACTGAGCGTATTCTCATTCTTAAATTGTTTCGCCAACGGTGCTAAATGGCACACACAGACACACACGCACACACACAAACTACCGGAAAGGTGGTTGAAGGGGAGTTAAGGCGGCATTAGCCATAATATTTGACCCATGCGCTGCAATTAACGTCACATTGAATGGACAGCACACAAATTAGAGCTGAGCTCCATAAAGAGAGCCCGAGTGTATAATTGTTATTGGCATTGTGGGCAGGGCAGGTGGCAAAGGGGGTGTGGCACTGGCAACTTGCTTAGAAATTTTTACTTTCAACGTTGGCAACTCGAATATATATATATAACTTCCCATTTTCCGACGTAGTTGGCAGCATTTTTCTGAAGCTTAATCCAGATGAACTTTCTCTGTCTCTCTGGCGCTCGCTCTCTTTCTCTCTCTTGACCCTGACGCTTTTAACGAGGATCGCTGAATGGGCTTGTGCGGCTGCTTGACTTTGCTTTTGTTAACCCAATACATAAGCTCCTATTGAACCTTTCTAGTTTGCCGGGAACAGCAATTCAAAAGCAACAACAGCAGCAACAACAAATCTCATTGCTCTTCACATAGCTCAATTTTCATTTGCCCGATTTCAGTTTTTTTCTTCTGTTTTTTTTTTTTTTTTGTATTTTTTTTTCAAGTGCTTTTGGGTGCCATAGAAATCGCCAATCGATTTCATTTCTTTGCCGCTGCTCGAACCACCCATTTCCATTCACCAGCAACCATCCCTTGGCTCGTCCTCCCCTTTTCACTTTCAGAAATCGCGTGCCTCTCCTGACTTCTCTGTGTAATTTCGCTTCAAACACTTTTGGGAATGTGATTTGCTCGTCTCGTCTCACTACCAGCAGGAGCAGCAGCAACGGCAGCAGTAGTAGAATTTTTGTGATTTGTGTGCCTGTCCAGCTGCCACCTCCAGATCCGGAATCAGAGCAGCCCACCTACTATCCTGCCCGGCCAGGCCCATAGCCGGCCACTGCAATTTTGTAGGTCAATCGCAGAGTTTTTTCTTTTTTAGTCGGTTTTCTCGCACGCAGACGCGTCACTGGGGCGTCCGCTGTTGGAAATGTGATTGTGACAGTGGGCGTGCCAGCTGCCACGCCTACCACAGTTGTCAAGCCAACTGCACTACATACATGCCTTGTCCTCCTCCTCCTTCTTCGCCGCCTATCCATTACCCCCCCTCGTCACTCCAGCGTGTTGCATGCAAACGTCTCGAACAATAAATTCGCATGCGTTTCCAAAAACTAAAAATTTTCCTTGGTGAGGGAGGGAGGATATAGTGCCCCGTGGGGATAGGTATGTTGGCCGAAAACGCTCTGGGTCGTCGCTGGCACCGCAAAGTGCATATTTGATTTTATCTGTTAACTCTTTTAGCCACAAATCCACACAACAGCTTCCAATGCGAATCGTTGTTGTACGCCGCTTGCAGCTTCACTGCATTTGACAGCACGACAGCTCCCCGCGTTCCACTTCTCCTGCCAGCCCTTGGACGCTGTCCGCTGTGTTGTCTGTAGTGATGCCAATGCCGCTGCCGAATCTGCTGCGGCCGAGTCAGGCCTAGGCCTAGTTCTGTTCCTGACTCCGGCTCTGACTCTGGCATAAATGCATGCGTACAGCCAGGGAATCTGCTCGTATCTCGCGCCATGCTCGGCAACAGCCTTTTTGCCCTTGCTGCCCGCCTACCCAATTTGTTTTATGGCACAACCACACACACACACATACATGGCTGCTTTTTCTGGTGGAAGGAGCATAGCGACTTTACAGTGCACCCTAGAGTATATTAAGTTCTGTAAGACGGCTAATAAATTGTTTCGCATGGATTTTATCCACTTTACACAAGATCTCGACTTATCGTAAAAATGTATTGCTTAATTTAAATCTACCAGTCAGCTATTTCCAGTTCCACGTTCAAAACTTTTAATTTCATCGAGCTAATTATCAGCCGCAGCTAACTTAACAAGCAGTATTAGCAAAACAGTGCTGCCAGATCGTTGCAATAGAAATACTTGGCACGCGTTGCAAATGTTGATTAAAACATTTATTTAATCAATTAGGGTGTGCCTGTTTCGGTGTGGTCCCACTCTGCGCTGCGCTTAGATTTTTTGAGGTCCAATCAAAATTTATTGTTTATTGTGCGTTGTGCTATGCGCAATTCATATTTTTGTCATAGTTTTTTGGTCGCATCTGCATTTGAAGTTTGATTTGTTTGGCGGCCCGCATAAAATGTAGTTCATCAGGTTTTCGAGCACGCAACGCATATTGCTTTTGATTTGCAATATGCCTCATTCATGAAACTGGGTATATATAAATATAAATATATGTAGGTATTTATTTATGTGTGTATGTTGTTATGGTATTTGGCTGGCTGGCATTGACATCTCTTTGCCGTCTTTTGTTGCCATTTTAGTGCAAATATTTTAGACAAATAGCTGAGTACAAAAAGAATACGCCGTGAGGCTGCCTCCAAGTCGCCTCTCAATTGCAAACGTCCAAGCAGCAAGTCAATGCAAAGCAAAGAAAAACATAAACAAAACAACAACACTTGCAACAACTACAACAACAACAACAACAACACACACACACATTTCAATGAGCTGCTTTGGCATTTATCTCTATCATGTTACAAATTGCTCAAGTGCGGCAAGATATTGGAACAACAACAACAACAACGAGAAACAGCAACCCGACTTTGACTTGGTCCACGTTTGGCTTGTCTTTGACCACATGGCAGAGCAGAGCAGACAAACCTGCCCGCTGGCCCCTGGCCACCCAGCTGCCCCCTAACAAATCATTCAAGTGTGCGTCCTGTGTATGTCCTGTGTGTGTGTGTGTGTATCCTGTGTGTGTGTGTGTGTGTGTATGTGTGTGTAGACAAAAGTTTTCCAAAGACAAATAAAACTGTTAAGTGAACTCTTCAGTTTGTTGCTGGCTAACGGGGCTGACAGGCTGACTGTCGAGCTGCCCCCCGCCACCACGCCCCTCATCCGCCCTCTTTTAAGAGCGAAAGGGGTTGTAAATATCGAAATTTGTAAATATGCATGAAATACGGGCATGTTTAGCATTTGCAAACATTTTCTAAGCTGACGTCCCACACTCACTTCTCGTCCCGCATAAATCCAGATACGCCGCAGGCAAAAATACTAAGCACCGATCTGGGTACTCTAACTTTGTTAGGTGGCAACGCTGCAGTCTCTTGAAGCTTGGGAGTCTTTCATAATATGGTTTGTTTTATGCTGTCCGTATGCGAGTTGTATAAAATCTTAATTGAGCAAGTATCAACCTCCTGCGATATCTTTATATATACCCAATTCATGGACAATTATCTCTTTCGAAATACTTTTATATAACTAGTAAATGGGATATTATGTGTATGCCTTTCAATCTCTTTTCATATTTGGATGCGTTTCAATTGTACTGCTGCCTGTATCCGAGTTATATAAAAGCAGATTGTATTATAAGCCTCTCAATCTCTTCCAATATATTTATATATACTTAAAACAGGGATATTAGTTAAAATTATGTGTGAAAATCTCTCAATCTCTCTGACGGGAATCCTGATTCGTTAGATAAGCTAGGAATAATATATAATAATAATGGTAACTGGAATAATATTCATAATTTTAATAAAATAATGCTAAATTTTAACAATTTAATAAAATAAATAATAGAAATAATCTTATTTAGTTAGCGTATTCAATGTTCGTTGCACCTCCCAACAAATTCGTCCTGATTTCCCTAGCTTATGGGCTGCTGTTGCCTTGGCTTGTGAGTTACTTCAGGTGCGGAAATAGACTCTCCCTTGACCTGTCTTCCGCTTTGTGCTCGGCTCTCTTCCGTTTGCTATGACAATGTCCGTATTGTAGTTGAGTCAATATATTATACATTGTTGTCCCTCTGTCTTTCCTTGAGCTTGAGCGATAGGGGGGTGGAAGAGGGACTGCTGCTAACTGGTGGCTCCTAAACAAGCGTTTAGAGCTTTGTTAGCAGTTTTTAAAGTGAGCAGCGCTTGTAAGCGGCAAATCGAGGGAGAGGAAGAGAGGGCGTGCAGAGAAGGGCTGCAAAAAAGGAAAAAAGTGCAGAAGTAGCACAAAATGTGAATGTAAATAAATAAATTTTTGAAATGTACATTTCTCGCTATCTTTGTTGCTATCTGTGTCCCGCCCCCTCGCACCCTCCCCACCAGCTGCTGCTGCCTTTCTGTTGGTTGTATAAACGTATCTCGATGAGGCTGCTGCTGTTGCTGCTGCTGCTGATATTTCTCTATGTTTTTGTTTTGCATGGCTTGTTACTACGTTTTTCACTCCCCTTCCAGCTGCTGCACTCCGCGTCGCCCTCTTCGTCTACACGCATTTACAGATAGCTACACATGTTCAGGTTGGCAAACACATGGCGTATACGTAACGTTGTACCGTGTGAAATCTTTGTTGTTATCGTTGCTATTATTGCTGTTATTTGTTATTTTTGTATTGTTATTGTTTTTGTCGTTGTTGTTGTTGGCTTTTCACTGTTATTGCTGGGACATTGGGAAAAAGTCGTTCGTTTTAGGGTTTTGTCATAAATTTCTCGCCCTGTTTTTGTTGTCTTCTTAAATGTCATAATTCAAATTGCCAAACCTCTCTAAAGAGTTATTTAGACATATTTCCATTTGACAATGGCTTAATCCTTGCAAATATTTGTGAGACACATTTAAATACCCTTCTAGAGGGTATTCTGATATTTTCATGATATGTGCAAAGCATTGAAGATTCTGTATTTCCCCCTAAAAATTGTTGTTACTTTAAGAACATTTTGTTGCGAATGCGGTTCATTGGGTTATGCGACTGCGACAATGCAGTTAGCAATGCCTCGATTGGCCATGAAATTTCGCCGACTAGACTTGGACTTGGACACATTCAGTTTCAGTTGCACTCTGCACAGCACAAGCGATGCATTATCGGCCCTTTCACTGGCAATTGTCGCAACGGGCGAGCCGAAGTCGTCGCCTCAAGTTGTGGCAGGTTCCAGCGATTCTCTTGTTATTGGTGCTGCTTGGAACGCTGCATCATCAGCTGAGCCATTGGGATGGCTTGGTTGATCCACTGCCAGCCGCGGGCATCGACAACATGCCAGCTGCTGAAATTGGCGCATTTTCCAGGCTCTGGCTTGAGTATGGTTACAATGCTTGGCTAGCTGAGCGCATTTCAGTGCTTCGTAAGCTGCCGGATATGCGTGATGATCGCTGCCTGGAGTACAGCTATCAGAACCTGAGCACACACATGGAACCGGTGTCCATTGTTGTCATCTTTCGCAACGAGCAGCTGGCCATGCTGCTGCGCACGCTGCACAGCATTGCGGACCGATCGGATCCGGAACTGATTGGCGAGCTGCTGCTGATAGATGACCACAGCGATGCCGGCTTCTGGCAGCAGCAGCGCTCCAGACACGCTTTCAAGGCGTATGTGCAGCGGTATATTCATGGAGCGGCACGTATCTTTCATCTGGAAGAGCACGTGGGCTTGGTGCGAGCGCGCCGCCTGGCTACTGCTGAGGCCAAGCAGGAGACGCTCGTCTTTCTGGACGCGCACGTCGAGGTGAGCGAGGGCTGGCTTGAGCCGCTGCTGGCTGTCATCTGTGAGAATCCTTTCACGCTCGCCACACCGCAGCTGGATCGACTGGACGAGGAGACGCTGGAATATGTGCGCGTCGTGGAACGGCGTGGCCTCTTCGACTGGAACCTGCGGCGGCGCGAGGTGCCGCTGACATGGCAACAGATAAAGCAGCTGCCGCGACCGTTTGCCACAGCTGTGCTGCGAACCTCGGTGTTTGCCATCAATGCGGAGTGGTTCAATAAGCTGGCACATCTCGACATTGAGCTTAATGCTCCAGCTGCCGCCGAGCTCGAGCTGAGCTTTAAGGCGTGGCGCATTAGAGCCCGCGTGCTCCAGGTGCCCTGCTCCCGTGTGGGTCATCTGCAGCCCAGCGATCTCGGCTACATGCAGCGCTATGGAGATCTTCAGCAAATGGCCCGCGAGCATTTCAGTGTGAGCAAGTTCTTGTCGAATTCCAATCCAACAGCAAACCATAACGGGCTGTCGCTTCCAGAGCTACAAACGTCTGACGGAGATCTGGCTACGTGAGCCCAGGTACAAATCTGTGGTCTATCAGCATCACCCACAAATCCAACAAGCCCACATGCCCAATGTATCTAAGCTGCAGGAGCTCATTAAACGTGCGGATTTCCAGTCGTTCGATTGGTATTTGCAGCATGTGGCAACCGACCTGCTGCGGCATTTTCCACTGCTGCCTCGCATTGACCTGGCGCACGGCACCCTGCGACCCGCCCACCTGCCCAGCCACTGCCTGACGGCTGATTTGAAAAGTCGCCGCATCCATTTGCAGCCCTGCAATGCTGTCCAGCCGTTGATTCAAAACTGGACCCTAAGCTCGCTGAACGATCTGCGACTCGGTGTGGATATTTGTGCTGAGGTGCAGCCCACTCAGAATGTGGCACTGAGTGCCTGCCACACGCTCGGCGGTCGCCAGAGCTGGCGACTGGACATGGACAAAAATTACCTGATTAGCAATCGGCACTGCCTGGAGTTCAATGTGCGTATGCGGGTGCACGTCAGGAACTGTGATAACATGAACCAACGCCAAATGTGGTTCTTTGAGCACACGAACGTGGCAGCAATAAAGACAAATAACTCGTAAGTGGGGACAAAATGGAAAATTTAGATATTTCTCTGTGTAATTTAATTTATTACTCATAATTAATATCTGTTTTTCCCTCAATATGTTGCTCCTTCACTTTCAATCAAGCATCCATTGACAGTTTTACATGCACATGTTCTCAATACGGTGCTTAACTCTGTTGTAGGCTATGCTCACACCGCAGCGCCATCTATTGCTACTTAGTCAAGGCGCTCACCTTCGCACTGAGTACTGATCGCTTAGCAGCTAAAAGTATGCTACATTTTCATGTGTGCCCTTTGAGGTATGCAACACATTCTGTATTTAGCAAAACCCTTCTCTTATAGAAAATTATTTTTGAAACTTATTTGAAAATTGCTTCACGACAGATATGACTGTTGTTCAGTCTTTAAACTAAGCTAGATTTGTTATTACTTTAAGGCTTTCGTGCGATTTGTTTTTGTTTTTCTTGATTAAAATGCCGCTGCAGCAGCTGCAATCGAACATGATGCAGCATTTTGTGGGCTGGCACTTGTCCCGGTCTTCTTCTAGCTGCAGGGCGCGGCTCAGCAGCGATGCGGCTACCGTTTTGTAAAAGTATTTTAGTTATCGGCTCGCTCGCAGCTGCCTCCGCCTTGCCAGCTTGTTAACGAGCGACACACGCAGCAAAAATCATCAACTGTTTTGAAATTGATGCTATCAGAGTGAAATGATAATTATCGAAAGACAAATGGTACGGTGCTGGCTGACTGGCTGCCTGGCTGCCTAGCCGCCTTCCCGGCATCGAATCCGTTTAGAAATGCAACACTCAGCGGCAGTCCATGCGTCCAAAGGCAGATAGCAGCCACAGATAGAGGCGGTGGCAGGTCCGAGTAAGAGTGCGAGTCAGAGTCAGAGCCCGAGTATGAGTACCCGCAGCACGGGCTGCGCTGCGCCGCTTGCTTGGCGGAATCCATCAACATGTGTACATATTTCAAATCCAATTTATGTACTTGCATAGCCGAAACGCAATTACTTCGCAGTTAACGCCCAGCCTCAGCCACAGCCAGAGCAACAGCAACAGCCGCAACCACAGCGAATGCCAAAGAGATGCGTTGCAAATCTCCACACGGCCACAGTTGCAGTTGCAGCAACTGCTGCTGCTGCAGCATAAAAATCAGCGCTCAGCTGCAGCCACTGCCGAGTGGCAACTGCCGCCGGTTTGTGTTACCAACTCGTTGGCTTGAAACCGATCCTGCGCCTATAAATTGCAACCAATACACACGGCGGCCCATACCCGCGGCTGCTTGTTATACACTGCCGAGGAGTACGCAGACCTGAAAGTATATCAACTATGTCAATCAATATGGTACAGCTATGGAATAAATCGATCGGAGAATCATATGCAAATTTTCTTATTAGGTATTGAAATAATAGAATTTAGGTCAGTTTTCTTGTCTTCCTTATAAAACTATATTTACTTTACCGCAACGTTGCCACCTTTTAAAAATCTCTGTGAGACAGCTTTTTACTAAGAGTTAAATATGAATTGTAAATTTGTCGACGTTTTATTCTCAGAATTCTCCATGTACTCTAGGTTATTTTTTCAATCTTCCTTGTAAAGTTAACATGCACTGTAACTTATTGACAAACGCAGTGTTTTCACCATGTAATCAATTGCTTTATGGTAGTTGTCTACAAATTGCAGCGTTGTCACCTGGTCGAACGTTAAATGTGAACAGTAAAATTGATCGACACCCAAGTCACGCACTTTTGCAAGAGCATAGACAGTTCGTTGTCTTTGGGCTGACAGCCTCTCATGGTTGTTGCTGTTGCATGTTGTTGTTAGCGTTGAATTCGCGTTCTCTCTCGCTTGAATTTGGCTTGCATGATGACCATCATGCCAAGAAGTTAACAAGTTTGCGCCAATGGGAGAAAGGCCGTCGACGATGACGATGATGACGCTGCCTGCGAGGCTGTGAGGCATTGAGGCTCTGAGGCTGCGTTGACGATGACCGCTTAAAAAGAACTGTGTAAATTTTAATGGCTGCAGTTGCATCCGCAGCAGCAGAAGCAGCAGCAGCAACAGCCACACACATGCCCCATACCAAGTCGGACGTCAGTCAGGCAGGCAGCTTTCAACAGGTAAGCCTGCGACCAAGCCCAAACGCTGGCCCGGCTCGTAATATTTTCCCGGGCCGGCAGTGCGTAGGGCGCCTTCAGCTGGCTTTGCTGCCACTGCTGGCGTCGCTGCCGCTGCTGGCGTTGCTGCGTAATTGTAGGCCACTGTTTTAGCTTGTTGTCGATAATTAGCGCTTGTTACCCCGCGCACCGCTGGCCGCGTGTTGCCTGCCAGCTAGCCAGCCAGCCTCTGCCTGGTTATTATTTATTATGAGCTTGTTGTTTTTCATCATAGCTCATTGCCCATGCCCATGCAAAGGAAACATACCGTGGCAAACCCTCCCTTCCCTTTGCCCAGCGACCAACGCATTTTCCATAATTATTTCGAGAGTTGTTGGGGTGAGCGCGCGCGCGCCTGCGCAAAGAGAAGGGAGCGAGAAGTCGAAGCGCGGCATAAACGTTCCTCTTTAGCCAAGACACACACCCCCCAGAAGATCGGCATTCACTTGTTGCTGTTGTTCTTTCAGTTGTTGTTGTTGTTGTTGCCTTGGCACGAAGCGTAATATAATATAAATATAAACAGGGAGCAGTTAGTTTTCAATTCTTTTTTTCGCATCCATTCCCTGAATTGGTTGCATGCGGCATGTTGCACGCTGCTCAGCTTGTGCCCCGCAGTTGTTTGAGCATTTCGGGCCGTTAAGGATGAAGCCAGTGCCGCAGAGCCATGGAGAATGTGAGAATGCTGCCTGGAAGCCTTGCGAGTCATGGCACAAGGGATATATTATATATAATTACAAAATTAAACCGAGGATCTCTCTCTCTCTCTCTCTCGCGCGCGCGCATGGTGTAAAGCCTATCAGCAGCATCGCTTGACTATGTGGCAAAATCTGATGGCAGCGATAAGATGCGAGATTCAAACTCACAGAAGATTGTGAACTTGAGTGTTGATAATCTCGCTAAGGAATCTCTATAAAACACGCACGAACATAACGAAGAAAATCTATTTAAGCCCTAAACATAGGCGAAAACTAAAGAAAACTGTTGCACTGAGGTTTAAACCATTAATTGTTTCATTTTTTTAATGGGAAGAGTAGCGTCTCTTTGTAGAGAGGCTTATTTTAATTTATTTGCTATGAAATTTTGAAATCTTATCCTCGCGCCAATATTATTTATTTCATAAGAATATTTTTATTGTTAGCTTGACATAGGTTCCATATCTTATCCTTCTGCCCTTTATTTTTATTTTATTTTATTATGTTAACTTAACAGATGCTCTAATCTATGTTACAGTCTCAACAGAAAATGTGCATAATTGAAAATACCCCGCGAATTCTTTTTAAATAAGCTAATAACTTCTTGAATTCGTGTTCAATTTAATGTCTTCTTTGAAATCGGATAATATTATCGAGAGAAGAAAAGAAACGAAGTCTGAGCATCATTATCAGCCCTCTGCAGAGTGTAAATTTTTGGTTAACAATAACATCGAAGGCAACCGCAATTCGGTGGCTGCTTATCCTTCAAGGCTGTTAAAACAATTTACACCAACAGAGTCAAAGTCAGTTAGGCTGAGGTGAGTGCAGGGCCATGGCCAGGGACAGGAACAGCGTCAGGCAACAATCGAATCTCGCATAACTTTGCGTTGTGGCCTCAGTTGATCGTTAAGAGCATTTTGTGTTGCCCTTTTCTGTCTGTCTCGCTGTCTGTCTGTCTCTCTGTCTCGCTGTCTGTCTGTCGTATGCAAGCAACAGCAGCAACTTAATCGACATCGTTTTCACATTGTCAATTGTCTGCAGCACTCTGCATGTCCATGTCCTCCACAACCTTCACCCATCATCAACAGCAGCCGCCGCCGCAGCCGCAGCCAAAGCAGCAGCAGCCAGCATTAAACAAAAGCCAAGTCACATCATCAAAAAAGAAGCAAAAGCTTCAACTTCAGCAACAGGCAACAGGCTTCAGCTTCAGCTTTAGTTTTAGTATTCTCCTGTCTGGTCTCTCAGCTCTCAACTTCCTGTCAAAGTTCAACAAACCGCCCAGTCAAAAGCACTGAGCACCCCCCTCGCTCTCGCACACACTCTCTCTCTCTCTCTGTCTCTCGCCCTGCTCTGCTTAACCATGCGCTATAATTGCAGATTGCAGTGGAAAAAGGCGAGCAGCAGCAACAGCAGCAGACGCAGCAGCAACAGTTGCCGCTGCCTACGTTTCGTTAATATTTTTGCAAATTTTTTTAACCTCCACTTTGCAGAGCCTTGTTGTTGTTGCTCCTGGCACACCAAAAACGTAGCCAACAATCAACAAAAATCTCAGCTTCAAATTGCACTCTCTCGCTCACCCTCTCCATCTTCATCTCTCTCTGTCTCTCTCTCCCTCTCTCTTTCTATTTCTGCATAATATCGCATGTGCACGCAGCCTGCATGCATAAACCAGTTTACACCCCCCTGACATGCACCTACCCTTCTCCTGCTGCTGCTGCTGCTGCTGCTGCTGCTCCTCCTCATATGGTGCTGGGTGAACGGAGTCTTCTGGGCTGCTGCTGCTGCTGCTGCTGCCTGTGATCGATTGCTGTTTGAGCATGCAAATGTGTAAAGACGCCTCCACCGCCGAGGTTGCAAGTCGCATGTTGCAAGTCCGAAACCGGCTAACTGGCACGGCCAGAAACGTGTCCGATTGCAGCAGCAACAGCAGCAGCAGCTTTTTGGCTCTTTTTTACTGCTTCTTCTGGCAGCGACAAAATGCAAAATATATTTGTAAGTTTGTGTTTTTTTGAAATATGTTGCTGACGATCGCCTGGCATTGATTTTCAGCGGCAACGCCTGACACACGCCCGCACGCCACCCCCTGCCCCCTGCCCACAGGCCTAGCCCTGCTACAGCATGGTGTTGCTGCAGTCGTGAGATGCTTGCTGCTGATTTTTGATGAATTTATTAAGATTTTTTCTTGAGGCTTT